AGGAAGGAAAGAAGGAAGGAAGGAAGGAAGAAATGCCTGAAAAAGCAATGAAAATATTGAAAGGAAGGCCAAGGGAAGCAAAAGGAAAAGAAAAAGGGTTGACAGGATAATAAATATACAATGTAACAGCAATATGTAGGTAATATTTTACAATGGGGGGAATTTTTTTAAAAAAAAAAGATCCAAGACTAGTCTGACTTACCAGTGAGAGCTGTTATTTTTTTTAACGATTCTTGTTCTTTTTTGGACAGAAGATTTCCTGTTGAGTGTGAAAAAGAAAAAAGAAAAACAGGCATGAAGAAAATCGAAATTAGTAATCGATCACTTGATGAAGGGTTGATTGTTTATTGTCTATAAAAGGGTTGAATTCTTTCACCTAATGTTTTACTGAACAAAGTAAAACAATTTTCGGTAAAAAAATAGAAAAAAGCTTTTAAAATCTTTATTTTCAACGTATACAATTTAAAGCCAAATCTATTTGAGCTAATAAATATTCCCATCTCAAAACATGMGGATTCTCTTGAACACTATTTCTTTCTCGGAGTACATAATATWAATCTCTAACTTCGTATTTTATCCCAAACGTTTGCTGCGTTGACTGACAATGCTAATAGGACCAATAGTCTAAGAGACCTTCCATGCATTGAGTGTTTTTTCTTTCTTGTAACAGCCAGTATTGTATGCCTTCTTTATTTAGTCTACTCGTTTCTTACCTCTTCTGTACAATGGAATGTATTCTACTCTAAAAATGTCATATTGAGGATAGTACTTYTTGATGGTAATGACGCCCGCACCAAGAAGTGCAGCGAGCGATGTAAGGATCACTTTTCCCAAGTTTGCTATAACAATTTCAAACATGTTGTCTGCTTTAAGCTTTCAACTATAATGACTTTGTGACGCGAAAAATCTGCTTATTAGGCCCTAAATTCTTTTATGACATCACAAGAAAATTATGATGTCATAGATAGAATGCGCGCGCTCARAGTTTGTAATTAAGACACAGGGAGCCCAATTTGTAGTAGTCTTACAAGGCCAAAAATTGTTTCATTTTTATAGGTTTCAGTTTAAATACCCGCTCGTGATGAGCTTTTACATCGTAACTTTGGAAACAATCAAAACCTCAACTCCTGGCCTCGTAGAAAGAAAACGTTTGTCCACCAATTGCCATTTCACCCTCACATTTTCCATTATAGCGGAGCTCCCGCGCGGGCCGAAGGCTCGCGCGAGCGGAGCATCATCTATCCATGCAACTCAGTTTTCGTGGTCATCGCATGGGAACCCTGTGCGTAACGCTAAAAGTGTCGCCCGCCAGGTGTACATCGCGTTTCTGATTGGTCGAGCTTTCAAATTACACGTCACTTGGAAAATGACGACTTTTTTAACGAGCTTTTTAACTATCAATGTTTTAAGTCGTAAAGGTTTTTGTAGGTTGGATTCATATTATGAAACTCAATTTGACTCATCAAACTTTAAAAATGATTTTATATTTTCCTTAGCTTTCGACCGACACGGTCATCCTCAGAGGAACTAAAATACGTTACAATATTAACAAAACCTACGCGATCAAACGTTGTACA